TGGACCTTCAGGGATGGATTTAGGTGGGTGGGGTGGGGGGACTGGCTGGGCTGTACTCTCCCCCCCGCCCCCCACCAAACCCCACAGCAGGCCCAATTATTTTTTTAGGGTATTTTTCTCTCTCTCTCTTTTTTTTAAACAGATTTTTAATGTGTAAATTTTTTTTCGCGTATTAGCCCGATCTTGAATTCAATTATGAATCCGACCCTATTCTAGATCGTCCCAAGTCCAAATGGTTCAGTTTATATCTATAAACTTAAGTTTAATCAAGTGATCTTAGGAGGTTGAGGATCATGCTTCCATCTGGTCCCCTAGCCTTCAGCTTCAAAATTCCCGCATCTAACCAACGCCGGTTAGGATTCTGAAAGTTGTCTCGAGTCTTTACTGAAATTGGTACTGCTTAAGGTACATGTGTCCAGAAATGAATTGATTTTGCTTCAAAAGTTGGTTCCTTTCACAACATGAAATAGATGTTTAAACTTCATAGATGTCTATGAATGAATAATGAAATTGAAAATTGAAGCCATCAATTTTAGGGTCTGATGTGGATTTTGTAAAAATAAGTATATTTTACTTCAAATTTCTAAATAACTCAGATAAATAAGACTTCATTTCATATGGTTGGACGTGAAGACAAGAAGGCTCAATATCTTTACAGAATGGACAAAATATATGCACGCACGTTTTAACTCACCTTTATTAATATATATTTATGGTGAGTCTATATATATACAAGCCTAAATCTTGTTCTAGCATCCCTTTTCTCCTCACCATGGAATACTATGGCAAGAGAAACCTCTACAGCTTCATAGAAGAAGAAACAAGAGCAAATCAATCATCACCACCTCATCTTTCCTTCAAATCCCACCGTCAAATTTCTGATTACGATCACGATCGTGATTACGATCACGATCACGATCACGTACCCTATAGCCCTTCAATGTCTTCTTCTACACCTAATGTCAACATGTACACCCTAATGCCATCCCCTAGCCTTGACTCCCCATGGACACTTTCCCCTCTCCAAACACCCTCACCCTCCCTCCTCCACCACTGCATCGCCTCCCTCCACCGCCAAGAAGGCAACATATTTTCCATCGCTGTCTCACGTGGATTGATTTTCACCGGCTCCGAGAGTTGCCTAATACGCGCTTGGCGACAACCGGATTGCCCCGAGAGAGGCTATCTCCGGGCAAGTTATGGCGACGTCCGGGCAATTTTAGCCCATGGTAACATCCTTTTCACTTCACATAGGGACAACAAGGTAAGAAGGTGGAACATAAATGTGGCTGAAAATTTTCAGGCCAAAAAGGTTATTACCTTACCTAAAAGAAGAAGTTCTTTTCTTATCTTCCCTAAGACAAATACCCAAAAGCACAAAGATTGTATCTCTTGCATGGCTTATTTCCATGCAGAAGGGCTTTTGTATACAGGATCATGGGATAAAACAGTGAAAGCATGGAGAGTTTCCGACAATCGTTCTGTCGACTCATTCGTCGCACATGATGACTGTGTGAATGCAATTGTCGTAAATCAGGAAGATGGTTGTGTATTTTCTTGTTCATCTGATGGTTCTGTGAAGATTTGGAGGAGAGTATATGACCAAAGTTCTCATACTCTCACCATGACACTAAAATTCCAGCCTTCGCCTGTCAATGCCTTGGCCTTAATCACATCGTTAAACTCATGTTTCCTCTATTCAGGTTCTTCGGATGGATTAATAAACTTTTGGGAGAAGGAAAAAATGTCAAGTAGATACAATCATGGAGGTTTCTTACAGGGACATAGATTTGCAGTTCTTTGTCTGGTTGCAATTGAAAAGCTGATATTCAGTGGCTCAGAGGATACAACAATTAGGGTTTGGAGAAGAGAAGAAGGGAGCTGTTTTCATGAGTGTCTTGCAGTAATTGATGCACACAGAGGTCCTGTGAGGTGTTTGGCTGCAAGTGTAGAGACAGAAAAACTTGTTGTTATGGGATTTTTGGTTTATAGTGCAGGATTGGATCAAACTTTTAAGGGTTGGAGGGTTAAGGTTTTGCCTGAAGAAAAAAAGGGAGGTTACATTGAGGATGTGGAAGCTATGGATACAAATATTAAGATTTCAGAATATGAAATGAGCCCTGTACTCTCTCCTTCATGGGTGGGGAAGAAACTCCAAGGCAATTACCCTGTCCACTAGGATCTGAAAAACATTATTTCACTTCTCGATCGTCTCTCCAAGTGTGTGGAGGCCAAGCGATGAACTATGTGAATTCTTTTTGTTCCATTGTTTCATTTGTATTAATATCGTCTAAATGCCAAGTGAGGGTTTATGTTCAACTCAATTATCTATTAATTTCTTTCTCCGATGACATTTTTCTTCTAAGTTTTCGTTGTGTTATGCATAAGTGAATTTTTCTCTTGCTACATAAATTCTGGTTTATATTTTTCTTAAACTGGAGTCTTGGGAGCTCGTGTTAGGTGTGTTATGTTACCATCCTAGCTAGCTAGGCATACAAAAAGAGTACTAACTCTTTGGTGAAAGGAATATTTATTGGCCTGAGGATGCAGCTCCATCATTTTCCCAAATTTAATTATTTCTTTCAAATAATATATTTGACACATATCTAACACTTTAAGGTATCATTAATTAACTGAACAAGTATAATAAAAAAACATATAAATAAATATATAACCTCTCTTTTGGTAGGGAGTATATAAGATTTTTAGTAGATTTTAATAAACGTGGTTGACAAGTTGTGAATTTCACAAAATATGTAGTTAAAATTAATTGTTGATTTTGACTTTTATCAGTACCAAACAGGGGCATATATCAGTTGTACAGAATTGCATCATGCTCTGAGCCACCCCATGCTAAAATAAATGCATGAGCCATTCAAGATTAGAGGACCTAACTTACTTCAATGGCCCATTTAAGGCGGAGGGAGTAGATAAAGTTTTGGTGGCATGCAACAACTGGGAAATATACTTTTATGATCTTGTAAATAATTGTGGGTCGTTGTAGAAATTAATATATTAAGTGACATATTACTTTAGCTCATTATTATGCAAGGGACATAACCTTATCAACAGTTATCAATTATAATAATAATACACTCAACTAAAGAGTACTGTGTACAAGTTGAAAGCTGTTTATTAATGCTCATAATTGAGTAGTTTAGTTGTTAATTAGGCCACGATTCTTGAGTAGTTCGATTTTTAATTTGAGTTAGTTTATAAATATACCTCTAAATATCTACCTTACCAAATATGTCATACTTAAGTATGATTCCTCGTGTAAAGTTTATCTGCGTGTAGGCAAGTAGTGTCAAATCTTCCTATCCTCACAAGGGGCGAACATATGTGGCACTCTATTTTAAGTTTCTTGCAATATTTTCTACATGTGCTTGTGTGTGACAAGAGTGAATCTGAGAGAAAACCTAAAACTTTTAGTGAAGCAATTCAAAATGAGCAAGCTAACTTTTGGTAGGCAGTTGTGAAAGAAGAAATTACATCGTTGTACAAGAATAAAACACGAGAGTTAGTACCTAAACTTGAAAATATTATAGTTGAGTTTAGGTGGATTTATAAGGTTAAAGTAAGGTTTAAAGCCAGACAAGTAGCTTTAGGCTTTACACAATAAAAAGGCACTAGAATACACTAGAATAATAGTTTTTTATATGCTTTAGTAGCTCATTTTACTGGAAAATAGAACAACTAAATGTTAAATCTGTTTTTTTACATTGTGAGTTGGAAGAAAAGGCTTACATCATGAATCAGCCTATTTGGTTTTGTTTATAAGAAAAATTATGATCTCTATATGGAATGAAGAAACATCCTAGTCAACGGAATAAAACATTTGATATTTTTATGTTGTCCTTAGGTTTTAGAATTATTTAAATATAAAATAACTAAACAAATCCATATTTGTTTGTTGTTGTATTTAGATGATATGCTATAAATTAATAACATAATAAAAAAAAATTAATTCAGAATTTGATACAAAAGATCTTGGTAATACCGAAAAGAACTAAGAAATAGATTTTGTTAGAGATCGATAGAACCAAATATGTTTTGGTTCTAAAACAAAAACCATATCTACTTTAAAGCGCTTAAGAGATTTGCCATGTTAAATGCCAAGTCTTTAAGCGTTCCAGTAGCTAATCATTTGAGTTTCTTAAAGATCAATGCACCAATAATGAAGGAAATAGGCTCGGTGATGTATATAATGGTGTGTACAAGACGAAATATGGCTTACTCAATTGACTCTGTGTGTGTTTGTGTGTGAAAGCATTAAAGTTGCTCTAAGATACTCAAGAGTATTGCAAATTCAAGTTTAGAGTTTGAACATTGTAGTGGACGAGTTAAAATGAGGGGATGTGGATGCTAATTTTGCAAGTGAAAGGAATAACAAGAAGTCCGCTATATCATATATTTGTAATACTTGTATTAGCTAAATCCCAATTGCAAATATATATTAGCACTGTTTATTGCTGATTCTGAATATATGACAATAGCAAAACTGTAAAGGAAATATTTTCGGTTGAACGTATGTTGCATGAATTGAGTTTCCTTGAAAATATTGTCGTTATATCTTTTAATAGCAAATCAGTTGCTCAAGAATCATGTCTTTCGTGACACAAGAAAACATATTGAGGTGAGATTGCATTTTACAAAAGAGATTGTATCCAAAGGTTATCCACCTTGATAAAATCCATTAGACATGGAGGTTAAACAATACATTTAAGCAAGTTTAAGTCTTGCTTAAGCTTACATTAATAATGGTTGAGTTCTTTGTTTTAAGCAAATTTGAATTTCTGCTTTTATTTTTTGCTCACAACTAACTTTTCTTTTTTGGTTGGCCATGTAGACAATGACATACATTGGAGTGAGAGTTTATTTTGCACTAAGTTAATCGACATATAGATTAAGGTGGAGTTATTGATAAAGTGATCCATATAAGGAAAGTCTCAAACCCAAACCCAGTTGTGTGTTCATAAAATGTGTTTTCACATTAGACGAAGAGAAGCGCCTATCCTTAGCACAATCCCATCCGTTGATCAATGCTTTTTTTCATGCTCTCATGTATAACGAGAGTATATCTTTGAATTTGTGCTTGTGAGTCGTAACATCGAAAATACTCAATTATTTAATAAATTTAAAAACAGACTAACAACATTGTCTAATAGACAACAGAGCACTCGATATGCTTATTGGATTGGGCTTAGATTAGAAAACTTCCTCTCCTGACAGTTGAACATGAGATCTGACAATGAAGAAGTTCTCATAGATATATCCAGCAAGACCACCTCCAATGAGTGGCCCAACCCAGTATACCCAGTGATCGGTCCAATCCCCGCTGACCAAAGCTGGCCCGAATGACCTTGCAGGGTTCATTGAAGCCCCTGAGAATGGCCCACCAGCCATGACGTTGGCCCCAACAACAAGACCAGTAAGAAGTGGGCCCATCCCTTCAAGGAACCCCTTCTTGGGGTCCACAATTGTTGCATAAACAGTGAATAACAATGAAAATGTCAACACAATTTCCATTATAACCCCTTGGGCGAAGTCCACCCCAGTTGCAAGTGTATGTACTGGTATAGTCTGCAAGAATCAAGAAATCACATGGTTCCTTGTTAGAATATAATACGTTGGTATCTAACAATCCCAAAATTAAATTGAGTAAATCAAACACAGAGAACACAAAGATGTTTCGTCTGTAAGTCCGGATGTTCACTCAAAAATGGACTAATCACCACGTTGAGTATCCACCTAAGTGATTAACACTCCAATACACTAGAACCCAGCAAAGTGCGTCAAAATACAGGAATCAAAAACCCAAGAATCACTCGACTTAAAGCCCTCAAACTCAACTCTCACTTTTTCTCTCGTTTACAGATTACCCCCAAGTAACCAAGAATTACAATTCACCCAAGAACAATAAAACTCTAACCATAACATGATTTACACTGGACATCACCAAGAATACTAGAAGACTCAAGATTACAAATGAAAACCAAAGGTTTTCAGAGAGAGAAATCATAAAGACAAGTAGAGACTGAAACCCTCAAACCCAGAAAAATGAGAGAGACTAGAATATAAAAGGTCATAATGCATCCAACGGTTCAGCCAATAACAGGTGTCATCATCTCAGCCATTCAATAAGTCGTGTATTAAGTAAATGCGAGATAGAGCACTAGGGGCCAAACCGAGTCACATTCTACCACATGGGCCAACCATAGGAAATACAATTTATTGGGCTACATCACTGGACCTCAAATAATAAGATGTTAAGCATATTTTAACAATCTCCACCTTGCTTAACATCTTTAGGTTTCATCTGAATTAGGGGTTAACTCCTCCTTATGGTTTCATATGCTCTATGTACCTACAAAAATATCCTTAGTAACAACATTTAGGATATTTAAACAAGCCCTAAATTTGTATAAAGGAAGAACTTTAGTTCCCATCCATAGGGTTATACTTGGTTGAAACCTTTTCAATCTTTATTCTCTTATTCAATAATATATCTTATAAAATGGAATTTAACATCTATATGTTTAGTCCTATTATAAAAAACAAGGTTTCTAGTTAGATGTATGGCAGATTGACCATCAGAATACACTGTAGCATTATTACTAGTAAAGCCAATATTATCTAATAAATTTTTCAACCAAATACCTTCCTTAACTGCATCTGTAGCAACAATATACTCAGCCTCTGTTGGAGATAGAGGAACTATTTTTTGCAGCTGATATTTCCAATTTATAAAGGTATTATTTAATGTAAACACGTATGCAGGAGTAGATTTTCTATTGTCACAATTTCCAACAAAATCTGCATCAACAAAACCTTAAAGTTGTATTCCAATTTTACTATTTTTGAACATCAGCCCTACATTTGTAGTCCTTTTTAAGTATCTAAGTAGTCATTTCATTGTTTCTCAATGATACTCACCCGGGTTACTCATGTATCTACTCAAGACACTTACAGCAAAAGCAAGATCACTTCTTATACAAACTAAAACATACATAACAGAACCAATAACATTTGCACAAGGAACATTATCCATTCTACTCTTTTCCATTTCAGTTTTAAGACATTGTTCGGCAGTGAATTTAAAGTGACAACCTAGAGGTAAGGTGACATCCTTAGCTTCTTCATAGAAAATATATTCAATATTTTTAAAATATATGACTACTGTGTGAGAAACAAGGTATAATTAGATCTATCCCTTTTAATCTCCATACCCAAAATCCTTTTGGTTGATCCTAAGTCCTTCATCTCAAATTCTTGCTTTAACTTTTGCTTAATGTTATTTATTTTAGTTACATCACATTCAGCAAGAAACATATCATCCACATAAATCAGTAAATAACAAGAATTTGGACCTCTACTTCCTTTATAATAAAAATATGGATCATATTCACTTCTATTAAAATCAAGACTGTTGATAAAAGTATCAAATCTGATGTACTATTGTCTTGGTGGTTGTTTTAAACTATAAAGAGATTCTTGCAATAAACACACACAGTTTTCTTTCCCCTTTTGTTCAAAACTTTTTGGTTGAGTCATGTAAATTTCTATGTAAAAAGGCAGTTTTCACGTCCAATTATTCCAATTAAAAATCAAATTACGAAACAAGTGAAAGTAAAATTCTTATAGAGGTTTACTTGACTACTGGGGAAAAATTTCATTGTAGTTAATTCCATCTCTTTGGTTAAAACCTTTAGCAACTAATCTGGCCTTAAACCTAACATTTTCAGTTAAAGGATCACCTTCCTTTATCTTATAAATCCGTTTGAATTCAATAATTTCCCCCTTTTGGTTTATTTACTAGGACCCAAGTTTTATTTTTCATTAAGGACTGCATCTTTCTTCCATGGTTGTCTGCCAAGAGTTTGAGTCTTTACTCTTAACTGCTTCTTCATAGGTTACAAGTTCATTTTCCAATAAGTTTTGAACATTTAGTGCAGTAATAAAGTCAGGTTCTTTATATCTCAGGGGAGGCCTTATTTCTCTTCTTATTCTGTCCCTAACCAAATGATAGTCTTCTAAGGAACCTGTAGACTGGTCTAGTTCAAGTTCTATGCCTTGCTCTAATCCAGGCTCCACCTCAGATCCTCATTTCAAGGGTCATGTTAGTCGGAAAAAGTTCAGTTTGCATAAAGTACCTGTTTTGATCATAATCTGTGTCAACAGTTGATTTTTCTTTAATGCAGGGCATATCTGATTCGTTAAAGACTACATTTCTGCTTATTACAACTCCATATCCTCCCTGACCTCTCAACCAGATTCTATATCCTTTTATGCCTTCCCCATATCCTAATAATTCACCTTTTATAGATCTTGGCTGAAGCTTCCCTTCACTTTAGCGTACATAAGTAATACAACCAAAAATTTTAATTTTGGAATAGCCAATAAAATGTCCATTTCAAAGTATGATCAGGGGTATCATAATTCAGGGATTTAGTGGGAGATTTATTTATCATACATGAGGCAGTTTTTAGCTGCCTCCCCTAGAATAACTTTGAAAGACCTGAACTTATCAACATGCACCTGATTCTTTTTAGAAGGGTCCTATTCATTCTTTCTGCGAGTCCATTCTATTGTGGTGTGTAAGTGACAGTCTCATGCCTAAGGATCTCATTATCTCTGAAGTACTTATCAAATTCTTCATTGCGGAATTCAAGGCCATTATCAGTTTTAAGAGCTTTAACCTTCTTGTTAACTTGATTTTCAACAAGAGCTTTCCAAGAAACAAAGTTTTGCAAGGTATCAGATTTATTTTTCAAGAACATAACCCAATTTTTCCTTGAAAATCATCAACAATCAGGAAATAGTATTTAAAACCAGAATAAGTACTTACAGAAGTTGGCCCCCACAGGTCAGCATGTAAGTAATCAAGAACAACTTTAGATTTATGGGTACCAGTAGTAAAAGGTAATTTTTTCTGCTTTCCATAGATGCAATGTTTACAATATGACACTCTTTCAATTTTATCATTTTCCAAGAGACCTTGTTTTTTAAGGACATGCAGATTTTTATCACTTATGGATCTTAACCTTTTATGCCATATTTTAGATTTGTCAAGCAGGGAGACAGTAGCAGCAATAAATTGATTTTTATGTGATATAGCTTTCATGACATATATCCAATTTGATTTTTCTACTTAAATGATATTAGCAAGATTATTTTGGAGTGTCAAAACACTTTTATTTATGATTGTATTAAAACCTTCATCATCAAGTGTGCCCAAAGAGATTAAGTTTCTCTTTAAGTTAGGAGTGTATCTAGTTTTGTTTGAGGTTAGTACATTCCCATTGTCTAGTTTTAAAACAATCTTTCCAATTCCTTTAATCTTGCACGAAAAATCATTTCTCATAGTTACTTGTCCTCCACTTGTTTCATAAAATTCAGTGAAGAGCTCTATTAGGGTGGCATATGGAAAGTATATCCAGAGTCTAGTATCCAGTCATCTTTGACTATGGGTTGAGAAGTCAGATAAACTTGTCCATTTGAGGTTGTTGTTTCTTCATAAGCTATAGCAGCTTCACCTTCAACCTTATTTGCATTTTGCAGTTCCTCAATTCTTTTCATACAATCTTGGATGTAGTGGCCCATTTTTCCACAAAAGTAACACTTCCTATCTTTAGCCTTACTGTTGTTCTAATTAAATTTTGACTTACCCTTTTGAGATGTACTATAATATTCTTTTGGTTTCCCAAATTTTTTATTCATATATTGATTATTCTTCTTCTTGAAGGAATTAGTACCTTTTATATTGTAACCTACTCCAGTTATGGAGTTTTTGAATCACTCTTTACTTCATGTTCCTTATTCCTTAAAGAAGTCATAATATCATTAACTGTGACAGTAGTTCTTTCATATTCAAGGGGATGTTTCACTTCTTTAAATTTCTCAGGTAAAAATGACAGTAGGGCCACAGATTTTTTATCATCAGATAAAGTCTTACCACCATTAGTGATATCTTGAAAGAGTTTATTAAATCTATCAGGATTAACTTCAAGATCACAATTAGGGTCAAATTTGAAACAGAAAAATTGTTTCCACAAGTAACATTTGTTGGGAAGGGTCTTAGTTTGATAAAGAAAATCATGCTTTGTCTAGATTTCTATTGCAGTCTTAGTTTTTTCTACCTCTCTAATCACACTTTCAAATAAATGCAAGAAAATTGTACTCCATGCAATTTTATCTTGATCAGTCCTCCTATTTTCAGTAACTTTTGTACCCCATGATTCATCTATAGCTTTCACACATCTTTGTTGTACTAAAAGGGCCTTCATTTTTTTACTCCAGAGACTAAAGTCTTCATTGCCATACCATATCTCAATATCAATTTTGGTACTTCCCATGATTTTTAAAAAATTTCGGTATAAAGTCTAAAGTACACAAAACTAAGACACAATTTATTCACAGAGATATACGCACAAAGTGATAATGTGCAATAGTGTCCACGCAAATACACCAATATGCAAATCAGAGAAGGCAGATCACAACAAATAACCCAATCATAAAGTACAAATATCAGAATCACGGATAAACAATAATCTTGAAAGAAACCGTTAAACATCGTTCCCTCAGATTCTAGGTCGCATGAAACCCTAGACAAAGAAAGAGCAGGGTGAGTTTCAACCAAGATATGCAAGTTTTAAAGAAGGAAATAGGGTTTAGAAACTCGTTACCAACACGTCTTAGGACACTAAATAGTGAATATCAAAACTATTTTACTTTCTTAGAAATTAATGAAAATCAAGCCCTTAAAAATACAAATCTGTGAAGATCTAGAGTTTTGGTCACCAAGAGCACCAGAAATATTCAGACCGAAGGCTTCCAACACAGATTGAGCAGCTCTGATACCACTGTTGGTATCTAACAATCCCAAAATTTATTCAAGTAAATCAAACACAGAGAACATAAAGATTTTTCGCTCGTAGGCCCAGATGTTCACCCAAGAATGGGCGGCTACTCACCACGTTGAGCATCCACCTAAGTGGTTAACGTTCTAATCCTCTAGAATCCAACAAATTGTGTCAAAATACAAGAATCAGATACTCAAAAATCACTCGACTTAAAGCCCTCAGACTCAACTCTCACTTTTTCTCTCGTTTACAGATTACACCACGTAACCAAGAGTTGCAGTTCACCCAAGAAAAATAAAATTCTAACCATAACATGATTTATATTGGACACCACCGAGATTACAA